ATCATCACAGAATTCTTTCGCCTTCAAACGCAACATCAGTCCACCCGACAGCAATTCCTAAAACGAAGGAAACATAGAACAGATAAGCAATGATACTAATGTTTTGACAACTATCAAAAACTGACCAATGAGAATGTTCTGTTCCCACGGATGTGTAAACAAACTTGTCACATGATTCTCACCTTGACTTCTCTGCTCGGAAAACCATTCCAGCAGTCTTTGATCCATCGCGGGATACTTTGGTGTAAAACAGCCCATCGTTTTACGTTTTGCGGACAGTTTTATTTCGCAGTTTTATTTATGAAGAGGTTTTCTTGGTCTTTTCTGCAGCGACGAACCATTGACTCACTGATGCCGTATTCCCTTGCGATCTCAGAGTTGTTCTCGACGGCTTCTGCTTCGGCGACTATTTTAAGTTTGAACGCTAGATTGTATGATGTACGACGGGCTTTTGGCATGATAACGGATTGACAATGAACGACTATCGACACAGGATTGTTTAAGACAGGTCTCTGAACTCGGAATGTTCATATGATCAAGCCGTGAATTCAATTTTATTCATTTGATCGGATCACGTTAAATTCAGCTTAACTGTGATTTGTTTTTATTCTTAGCCATTGTATTGAGTAGGTAACAATATTGATACAGCTGTTTCCCGAGAGGTAAGCCTAGCTTTTGTTAAATATTCATGACACCTTGCTTTTCAAGCGAATTGCCCGTGCAGTTGGATAATTAACCCTTTCTTTCATTTCATTTTAACAGATTTTAAAAGCTAAATGTGATTAAAATTTTTCGTGAGCTCTTATACGTTTTAAGAACTGGGTCTCGGCTTATAGCTAAATGTTTTGTGTTTATGTTTGAAGACGATCATATTAAGTTTAAGAGTTAAAAGTTTAGGGTCTCGGCTTATAGCCGATAAAATATGGTAATTAAAGTTTTTTTGAAAAAGGTGTGTAGACTTAAACTTTAGCACTATGGTTATGACATTTCAAAGCATGACTAGTAAAGATATCTGTAGAAAAAAAAATAATGAGCAAAGACCATAGTTTGGCCATTTTGGCACACCTAATATGCTTTTTTAGAGTATTGTTGTTCAAGTTGATCAGAACTATACAGGTTATAAATAAAATCCATCAGAGACTGTTAAGAAGAAAGGATACTTCATTAACCTTTTTACACTGGTCTGGAATGAGTTAGGTAAAGGGATTCCCATTCTAAAATTTGCACTTGTGATCTAAAGCATATTGTCACTGGTGTAACAGTTACCATTCAAACAAAAACATTGGCATTAATTCGCCTAGTTCTAATCGTCTCTATAAATGTAGGATTTTTAAAAAAAGGAAATTGGAATCAGTATGCAATATTGCCATTTTAGAGGTTAAAGAGTCAATAGTAAAAAATATATTCATTTACATACCTGTATAAATTCAGCAACCTGCTCTCCACTTTCTAGGTCATTGCCCAAACGCACCCACCGAACGATTTTATGGCTTATGTGCCCGAAGTGAGAGTCAGGTTGGGATTTCCCCTCTCCAGCTTTGATGTTGTTGTATTCCTTTAGTGTGAAGTTAAAAACTCTGTTCACCTCAGAGAGATAAAAGAGGACTGGACTATTGTGATAATGCGGCCCATTATCTAAAAAAAATAAAATAGAAAAGGCAGAGCTTAGGAAAGAAAAAACCACATTGCAACACAAGTCAAAAATTTGTTTGTTTGTTTTTTTCAAACTGGAGGGCACGCTAAAATGACACGCTAAACAATAGGCAGTGAGCGAAATGACACGCTAGGGTGTGAGCAGTGTGTCAACTGGCACGATTAAAGAGAAAGTTTCTTTTGTTTACATCGCAGGCGAAACACAAAAGATCATGTCCTGTGAAACAATGGTGTGTCACATTGAGCAAAATAGCATGCTAGTGTGCAAAATGACACGCTAGTGAGCTCAAGCAAAATAACAGGCCGCAGAGCAGCGGAGTCCACTCTTTTAACTTACCGTGTTGTCAAACAGTACAGGGTCCGTTTTGTCTGTAAAGCCAAAGATCCTTCTAAAAAAATAACACAAAATAATCTCACATCCGCGATGGACCAATGTGTCTTTGAATTCCGTAGTGTCGAAAACTGCGTATGCTTTGTGTTCGGTCATTAGGAGCGCGAACTTGAATGTCATGTAAACAGCTTGTAATGCAAAACTTCAGCTTTTTTTACTGTTTTTATACATGTAATGAAACTAAAAGTTCAATAAACCTGAACAGTACAGTATAATGAAAATGTCGCGTTCAACTTTTACCGTAATGATTTGATTTAGCGCCCTCCTTCCAATAAGCGCCCCCTTCCAAATAAGCGCCCCCCTTCGAATGTGTTTTTGTTAATAAGCGCCCCTATTCTAATATTATTACAGCGCCTTCAGAGTACGTATGAAACGTGGTTTATCTTCCTTTAATAGCTGACATACGTAATAATGTATTACAAAAACAGTGGTCTTCGTCTGAGTTTCTCAACTGTA